AACCTAATAAAACATCTGTTCCTCATTGATATTCTGCTTATTCAATGTGTATAAATTAAGTTAGGTGCTTTTTGAGGTATTTGAATTTTTGCAACTGTTGTTAATCTTTTCTGCATTTTCAGCAGCATTTACTGCTTATGGATTGAAGTACATGGTGACCTTCTCAGGGGGTCCTACAAACTTTACAATATTCTCTTGAGGCTGGAGCTAGGAACGCAAAATTGAAAAGAACATGGAAAATGTAAAGATACCATTTGCCTCTTAATACTTCAAAGGAACATTTTTCAAATGTTGGTTATATGCTCATTAAACAGCTGTTTGCAAAACTTTGTAGAATTGGATATAGTCTGGTAAACGCCAACGCTATTTCATTTTTCTTATTTTCATAACTTGAACCACTGTGTTTAATGTTCTCTGATCGTTTCTGTGGGCTGAAACTAAAATGTTTCCCATGCTTTTCTTTTTAGCTGTGATTAAGAAATCCTCTTCACGCTAATTACTTTAATTAAAATAATTTTCTTCAATGTTTGTTATTTATTGCAATTGTCAGGTTTTAGTTGTAGCATTAGCTGTCAGCGTTTACTGAATAAGATCGCAACTTATGACAGAGGAACAACCTTGAAATGTGAAGATATTTCACTAATATTTTCTTTAACACAAGAAATCTAGAAAATCAGACACTGCAATTCAACGTAATCACCTATCAATCAATTAAGAGATATAAGCAGGTAGACAGGCAAATTGTTAGTTATATTGATGGTGCCACCTTGTGGATGTGATCTCTTTGATATCATAGCTGTGAAGTGTTTAAGCAAACAGAACCTAAAGGTTTTGTGTCAATAAAATTTTTTATGAATTCAATTATACGCAGGTTTTTAGGACTTGCTAGGAAATAGATGTTTAGCTAAACACAAAAACTAAATCATTAATTAAGGTAATGCCATAACATACACATCTAAAAGTTTGAACTATTAATCTGCACGCCCTGAATATTATAATAATGTAATAAACCTTGCATTTGATATGACACCTTATCATGATTCGAGACGTCTCAAAGCGCTTCACAGAACATACTGTAAAGTGAATTGACTGTATATTTTGTGAGTGAAACGCGGCAGCCAATTGTGCACAGTAGTGTCCCACAAACAGCCATGGATTGAAGTGACCAATTTTCTTTTGGTTAAAGGAATTATTTACCCTCGAAAAGCGATCCGCCAATCGACTAAAACTGGGTTACTACTTACTGCGGGGTAAACAGAGGCGTGTGGAGTAAGGAGACTTGCCCAACATTTCGCCCTGCTGGGAATTGAACCCAGGTCTCTCGCTTGCGAGGCGAATGCTCTAACCACTGAGTTACAGGTTTTAACATTAGATATGGATTCTCTTTTAAAAATTATCATACAACTTTATAGTTATGATCAACATTTTGATAGGTCGTACTGTCCGTGCTCAAATTAAAACCATCAGTGTTCCACAGTAACTGTGGGTATCGTACTTTTATCTTTTTCTTAATGCCAGTAACAGATGCACTTTAGTAGAATGTCAACTGTGAAAGATAAATATATGTATGCATCGCAACTCTCAAGGTTTTTTGAAATACTTATGAATCATAGCTTCAATAAAAGTAACAGGAGTGAATGCATTTAGTTAGTATATGATTTAATAATAATAAATAATAATCCTTGCATTTGATATAGCGCTTTTTACATCTTCCTAGACGTCTCAAAGTGCTTCACATAATATACTGTAAAGTGAATTGACTGTATATTTGTGGGCGAAACACGGCAGCCAATTGCGCACAGCAGTGTCCCACAAATAGTCGTGGATTGAAGTGACCAATTATTATTGTTGTTTTTCTTGAGGGGTTATTATCAGGCTTGTGGAAATAAGGAGATTTGCCCAAGGTTTCGCCCTGTCGGGAATTGAACACAGGTCTCTTGCTTGTGAGGCGAGTGCTCTAACCACTGAGCTATGATAGTAGATATGGATTCTCTTTAAATGTAGAATAAGTGTATTCCTTTCACCCATTATCTCCTGATTGATGTTTTTGAAATGCCTCTGCTTTTGTTTTGTATTAGTTTGAAACATTTGCTTAAAAAATATGAACTATCTATTAAAATGGACTTTCTTCAGTGGTGTAAATTTCTACAGTTCTATGGTACTGAACAAATAATAATAGTAACAATAATCCTGGCATTTGATGTAGCTCCTTATCACATCTTCGAGGCATCTCAGAATATGCTGTAAAGTGAATTGACTGTACATTTTGGGGGTTAACAAAGGTAATGAAAGAACATTGTGTGCTTGCATTTAATATTAAACTAACTTCTTAAACCAGCAGAAAGAATAGTGGATGAAAATGTTCTCTTCATGGGCATAAAACTAAATCAAATATTGAATTGTAGACTTTATTTCTATCTGAGAACAAAATTAAACTCAGCTATCGGTCATAAATAATTACCTAAAAATGAATAGCCAGAGCCTTGTGCCTTATTTTCAAAGCTAGTCTTAAATGCACTAATATTTCCTTGTAGTTTAACTACAGCAATGAGCATAAAATCCCATTGTCCCAAAACTTCCAATTGGAATCACATTAATTTCCAACTTTTTTTAAAAAAAATATTCTGTCGCACCAGCATTGATTCTAAATACAAATTTGCTTACAAATACACATGAGCATTTATGATAAATAAATCATTTATAATAATTTATGATAAAATCACAGATTTTAATGTATAAATTGTAGGCTGTCTATATTTATTTAAATGTTACTTTGAACATGAATGCTCACATTCTGGCACCACAATAGCAGACATATTGACCGAATGCATCGTCAAAGAGATATATTTTTACAAGGGTTTAAAAGACACAGAGAAAGGAAACAAGGTGAAATTTTTTTAGAAGAGGGTTACAGAGGGATGGGGCTTAGTAGCTAAAGGTCTGATGTGGTGAGATGTAGGGAAGCAAGTGATAGAATCAGAATAATGTAGGGGAAGGGCTGGAGGAGATTGAAAAAATTGGCACCTTCAAGACCTTGAAGGATTTTGAAGGTCAGGATAAGAAGTTTAGGGTTAATCTACTGGGTCCTGGAAGTTAGTGCAGCCAGGAAGAATAATGTAATGGGCAAGGGGATCCTTGGAGTTTGGGATGAGATGCAGCTTGTAGAATGTGGAGCTAGGGAGGCCAGAGGAGAGGAGAGCTTTGGAGAATCAGTCTTCGAGGTGATGAAAGCAAGAATAAGATATCATCAGCAGAGGGGGTAAGGTGTGGGAGAAAGTAGGTCATGTTGCAGAGCTGGAACAAGGTGGATTTAGCAACATGAGGTTTGAAGCTGGGAGTAAAGCAATATTACTCAAAGGACTATTCTGCCTGAGGAAGCAGGCTGGGAAGATGATGTGAGTTGGAGCTAAAGGCGAGAAGGCGAGAACCAAACAAGATTATATTAATCTTTTTACAACCTTTAAGCTAACTTCATTTTAACCCTTTTCTTGTTACGTATCAATTTGTACCTCGTTTTTAAAATGGATCTTCAGCTTTTTTATTGGGTAAAGTAATGTGCTAATTTACCCAATAATATTCACTTTTTAAAAAATATTTAGATACCAAGGAAACCAATCTTTAAAAAAAAGGTAACATCTACTGTTGGGAAGTCATGAATACAAACTTCGCGAAGCTTGTTTAACGTTTTATTGGTCACTTCAATCCACGACTGTTTGTGGGACGCTGCTGTGTGCAATTGGCTGCCGCGTTTTGCCCACAAAATATACAATCAATTCACCTTACAGTATATTCTGTGAAGCGCTTGGAGATGTCTCGAAGATGTGATAATGCACTATATCAAATGCAAGTGTTATTATCATAAACGGTCAAAGAAATCAGTGACTACAAACATTCACCTCCTTAGCACAAAGCTGTGCTGCTTGTTACTGCAGACCAGTTAACCTAATTGGACGTTATTAGATGTCACCACAAAGCCACAACTGCAACTTTTAAATTATTTAAATTGTTCCAGTGTAGAATGCGGTAACCAATTCACAGGCAAATTCTGCTACTCACTGTTGAAGCAGAACTAATTATATTCTAATGTTTTTATTAATGTAAATTATTGTTGTTCGTCTGTGATGATTTCAGCCCGAGCAATAGTTGGGACACTGCATTTTCATCGCAGATGAAATGTGCCAATTAGCAGATGATTTATCACTGGGCTCATTCCGAAACTATAATTTTGACTGCTAAAAATCCTCCGTGAATCGTACGTGTACTTGCAAAATGTTGGCACATTCCAGGCTTCTTTTTGTTTGTCTCAATCATGCAACAACAACAACAACAACTTGCCTCCAACAACAATAACCTCCTCAGCTAATACGTCATCGCCCTTTCTACAGGGACCAATTCGGTTGAGACCCTAGAGACGCCTTAAAAACACCTTTTCTTTGGTAACAAAATACACACTTTACAAATATATTTTGTGAAGCGCTTTGAGATGTCTCAACGATGTGATAAGGCGCTGCATCAAATGCAAGGATTATTATTAATAATAATAATAAAAATAATAATAATTATTAATATTAATAATAATAATTATACCCGTTTCTGATGTGGATGATGACCACAGGACTTGAGAATCTCTGGAGTTGATTTAAGCTTCCCTCCCCACAGAACCGCCTCTCTTCTGTGTCAGAAGGAATCAGTCCAGCACAGTGCGGTACAATACAGGACAGTCTAGTTTATTACTGGAGTAGTTGAGTTTAGCAGAGCAGGGGAAGGAGGGATACAGTGAAAAGTCTCCAGGAATATACACTGTTGATCTGTCTGCTATACAACCAGCCACACTGAGTTGCGAGGGCTACAAAAAAACAACCACACACACACACACACACACACACACACACAAAAACCAACAAACAAACAAACACACGCAAACACTTAAATCTCAGCTCATTTCCTGCCTGGCACCACCTTGGATTTGGGTCTCTCTCTCCAAGTGCTGGGCTGAGATGATGGCTCACAGCGCTAACATCAGCACTACTCTCAACGCTTCCGACCATGCCCCAAACCTGGCAGGTTTGAGTCAATCGGGACACACGACGGTGGCAGTGTTCCTGGGCATCATTCTGGTCCTGGGCTGCGTTAACAACCTGTTGGTGTTGCTCCTATTCGTGTGCTTCAAGGAGATCAGGACCCCGCTCAACATGATCTTGTTGAACATCAGCCTCAGTGACTTGTCGGTGTGTGTTTTTGGGACTCCCTTCAGTTTTGCTGCCAGTATCTACAGACGATGGCTTATTGGGCACAAAGGTTGCAAATGGTATGGCTTTGCCAACTCTTTATTCGGTATGTATCCTTTCCCACCTCCACTGCAATGCAAACCTTCTAATAGCAGATCTTTTAATAGCCTCTTTTAATAATAATATAGTAAATACTAATAATTCTTGCATTTGATATAGCGCTTTTCATGTCTTCTAGATGTCTCACAGCTCTTCACCGATTATGCTGTAAAGTGAATTCACCGTATATTTGTGGGCCAAACGTGGCAGCCAATTGCGCACAGTAATGTCCCACAAACAGTTGTGGATTGAAGTTGAGATGACCAATTTATTATTGGTTTTTTTCTTGAGGGATTATTATCAGGTGTGTGGAGTAAGGAAACTTCCCCAAGGTTTCGCCATGGTGGGAATCAAACTCAGGTCTCTCGCTTGCTTTTACCATAGCGCTGTGACTTCCAGGCAAATGCCCACACTGGTCAATAAGTAACTGCCACAAAAATATTATTACTGTGCTTAAAAAAAAGCTGAACCCCGAGACAAATACAGTATTGTACAACTTTAATTGGTTTCTCTTGCTTTAAAACTTTTTTTTAAAAAAAGCCATTCGTTTTAAGCAAAGTAAAGAAGATTAAAAGATAACTGTTTCAGTTGTGGGTTCTTATGATAATAGATGTACGGAGAGTTGTTGAAAATGTCCAGCTTTTCTTAGGTCAACTGCCTTTGATAACTAGAGCTGTTGTACCTCTGTCGAGAATCTTGCAAGTTGATGTGTTTGCTTATTAGTAGCATGGGTAAAGTAAGGAGTTTTGTAGGGGTTGAATCTTGGTAAAGGTGTTGGGTGGACTTTGCCTGTAAGAAAGGTTTTGGCACATCTTAGAGTCCTGTAGCATAGTGGATAGCTCCCTCGCCTCACAAGCTAGAGAACCCGAGTTTGATTCTCCATTCCGGGCAAAACTTGTTGGGCAAGTTTCCTTTCTCCGCACGCCTCTGTTTACCCAGCAGTAAGTAGGAACCCGGTTGTTAGTCGATTACTGGATCGCTTTCCAGGGGTAATAGTCTCTCCAAAACAAAATTAGTCATTCAATCCTCAACTATTTGTGGGGCAATGCTGTGCGCAATTGGCTGCCGCATTTTGTCCATAAAACACAGTCAAATCACTTTACAATATATTCTGTGAAGAGCTTTGAGACGAGACAATAACATGATTAGGCACTATATGAATTGCAAGGATTATTATTATTGTTTGTGCCTCAGCTGTGCAAGCTGCCCTCTGGCTACTAAGAGCAAGTACTGCCCAGGCTTGTGAGCTGTGGTATTCTCTTGCTCAAGTAGCACCAACCTGATTGCACACTTGCAGCTGGATCTGGGTGTTGGCAATTTCAGTCACAGCAGCAGAAGCCTCCATTCTGAAAGACTGGAAACAGGTATATGCTCAGAATGTAAATGGGAGCACACTTTTGGGCCACAGTTAAGTCAGTGCCATGTGAGGTTTTACAGTTGCAGGGTATGAGGTACACGTCCAGGAATTTGAGATGGTTCTCTCATTCTGCTCCATGTGAATATCTACCAGCCAGCTCTCTTTCTCTCTCCACTTCTGAGGACACCTTGACTCCTTTATCTTTCCACTGGAGTTCCACAAGCACCACTCACTCTGAAGGACCTCACCCAAGTAGCTATTATTCAAGCGTGAACCTTGATAGTGAGTGTTGGCTAGCTATTTAACTCCGGGGGCATCTCAGTCAAGTAGCGTCCTGTGATCACCTGATACCACACGTACACGTCTTCAAAGAGGATGTAGAGTCAGCAATAGGAGCCAGGGCACTGAGACCAATCAATTTATAGCACCTCTACTGCTGCTCCTGCTGAGATCATCATAATAATCCTTCCAAAAAAACCAATAATAAATGGGTCATTTTCAATCCACGACTGTTTGTGGAACATTGCTTTGCGCAATTGGCTGCCGCGTTCGCCCACAAATATACAGTCAATTCACTTTACAGTATATTCTGTGAAGCGCTTTGAGACATCTAGAAGACGTGAAAAGCGCAATATCAAATGCAAGGATTATTATTATTATTATCAACTAATTTGGCACAGACCACTCTGCTCCTTTACTAACTGGGCCGTTGGAGGCAATGAAGTTGTCATGACATTCTACCATCAGTAAAACAATACAACCAAATGTTTTGCGGCTGAACCTCATGACAATTTGCCTCATCGTGACATAAAAAGATATGTCTAGGTTTGGCAGTGCTTCTGTTCATATATATTTTATAATTTCACAGAATCTCTGGTGACAATTTCAACCTGATCTGTCTTTGATTCTAGTTTTTGTTTCTCTGGTGATAGTTGTTAATGTAAAATAGTATCTTATAGGTTAGAATACTGATTGCATGCAAGTTGAATGGCATATGAGATTTATTCAAGATTCTGCAACACTTCACACTTTCAGCAAAATTACATTGAGGGTCAGTGAAATTAATAAATATCTTGCAATCATTGTAACTGAGCTGCAGCTTAAGAGTAACCAATCAATCTCAAGTTTCAATCATTCTTCACAGAGACCTTAATGAAAGCAACTGAGATTTTTGCTGGACTGCCAGTACAATACAAGTACACTTTTTCATCCAACAGCTCTGAGGAACCCATGACATGGTTTTCCAGAGGAAGCATTGCCCTTCACATTAGTAACCAGTCCTTCACAAGCTCATGCTTAAACAACTAGAGGAGCTTCAAAACAAAAGTGGCACATCTTAGGTTCAAATCATAAAAAACTTATGATCATAAAATGTTCAAATCATAAAAAGCATTAGTTTTAATCTTATGCATACAATGCTAATAGTATATAAATCCACTCATACCAATGCGGTTCACGAATTTTTTTTCATAGTGCCTTTAATACACAATCCTTAATGATAGTCACACGTATGTTTTTTTTAGTAAATTACACAAGGTCATAGGCTTGATTTTCAGTCTATGCTGAATTAGCTGATCTCAGTTTGGTGCTACAATTGGCCTTAGGTAGCTTTTAATGTAAGGTACATTAAATGCTTTGCCTTTGATATAGTACCTTATCATATCAAAACATCTCAAAGTCCTTCACAGTTTTCTGAAAAGGACCCTGAAGACTATTTATGGCAAAAGTGGGCAACATTTACTACACATTCACCTTTTATTGATGGTATGCAGTAAAAGCTATACAACTATAACAAATTACATTTATATTTCTCATCAGGAGGACTTCCCAAGGTGTTCAGCTATAATGATCATATCTGTAACATGCCAATTAGTCTTAATATACTGAATATTTGTAGCTGCAACGAACTCACATTCCCGTGGAATCCATTATGAATGGAGGTCTTTTTCCCTTTGCCTGGGAATTAAAGTTAACAGGAACCGAGGGTCAAAAAGTGGAGGTCACAAGAGTGAGAATAGAAAACCTAGACTTGACATGTACAATTCTGCACATTTTAACATCATCATAACAAATGGTAAAAAGAGCTAGTTTTAGCACAGGAACCTTCTTAAACATCCATTATTATGTAATAACCAAAGTTATCGGAATGTAACATTTGTTTAGATCCATTTAAGGTAATTGTAACGGTTATAAGGAGAAACAAGTCAACAAAATAAACCATCAATATGGCACATGAAGCTTCAGTCAATGTTTTATGCTTTTGTTGCAAATGAAAATATTTATCACAACATTTAAATGAAAAGGTTACCCTGTGTACTTTTGTGCACATACAAACATCAATTTGTTAGTGCAAGGATTGAACAATAATGAGACTGAGAGATCAGCCTAAAGAAAAGTCATTGCAGCCCCGGAATTGTCTTACGGGAGTCGTGATCAACTACAGGACCCAACAGCTCAGCTATGCCAGGAATAGGCATACTGTTCACGAATACCACCGACACACACTTGGGGTTCCCCAAGCCTTGGCTCTTGCCAACTTTACCAAATACTTTCCAAAATTAGATAAGCGTAGTACATTCCTCTGGGGAGAGAGTGCAAATTCCATTCCAGACGCAATTATTTGGGGAGGACATTTGCAGGTCTGTGGGGTGAGAGCGGGGGAGTGGGATTGATTTGGATAGCTCTATTAAAAGAGCCAGCACAGACACAACAACAACAACAAAATTACATTTGTATAGCACCTTTCACGTCGGGAGGACGTCCCAAGGCGCTGGACAGACAGAGATTATGGACCCGAGCTGAGGGTCAGGGTGGGGGAGAGGGGGAGGGCAGGGGGGAAAGTAGGGAGATCGAAAGCATGGTCGAAGAGGAGTGTCTTGAGGTGTGTCTTGAAGGTGGCGAGGGAGGGGGCGAGACGGAGGGACTGCAGGATGGAGTTCCAGAGGGTTGGATGCAGAGTGGCGGAAGGCCAGCCCACCGATAGTGGGGCGAGCAAGCCGAGGGACGTGAAGCAGGACAGAGCCCACTGAGCGGAGGGAGTGAACAGGATGGTAGGGGGTTAGGAGGTCGGAGAGGTAGGAGTGAGCAAGACCGTGGAGAGCTTTGAAGGTGAGGACCAAGATCAGGACACGATGGGCTGAATGGCCTCCATCTGTGCTGTGTAATTCTATGATCCTATAAAATGCCAAACAGCAACTAGCACAATCTCTTGTGAGTTACAGAGCACCGTGGGGAATAGAACACTCTATTTCAGGCACCAAGTGTTAGCAGCAGGCACCCCCAGGTCAGATACAATCACAGCAAGCTGATGAGTAAAGTTTCTTCTAACTTGCCTTTCAGAACAATGTGGCAGAAAAACAATTTCCACTGCTTTGTGTGAAATGTCCTGTTTCCTACATAAAATTAGATTGGATCAAATACCAGCACTTTTTGGAGGAAGAAGTTTGCACCAGGTGTTGAGCTCATAGTCCAGCCTGATACTGCAGCATAGTACTGAGGGCTTATTGAATCATATGGAATTCTGAATATAGTTTGGAAAATGAGGCATTGCTATATGTATGATCTATTGTATAACCTCAAGATGCTAGAGTTAGTAAAAAATGTTTTTTTTAAAACTGATCACTTAATGTTCATTTCAAGTTTGAATGTTTAAGAAACACTGGAGATGCATATCTCATTTGATGACTAATGTGGATACCCAGCGGTAAATCTAGTGATAAATGTGAAAGGACCCAAGTCAGTTGGTAGTGAGTGACCTTTTTGAGGGTCAAATACCTCCAGGTGAGTCTCCACACTGGTCCAAAATGCCACCCCCCATTAATAACTTACTTGTGGCCAAAGGTACTTTAATCTTATAGAGAGTGACACTCCATTGTTTTTGTAATTTTGTTGGATGCTTAACTTATATACAATTGCTTGGGTGTTAAAATGTTACAGTCCTTCCAAATAACTCACAAGAAATGCATTTTGAAACATGTTAACTTACACTCATCTACTGATTGTTTTTAGAAATGTATTATTTATTTCCTATATGTTTTCGTTATCTTGCAACATATTCTGGAATGTAAAATGAATAGCCACCTTTCAATGCTGTTCCCCACCCCCACCCCACACTACATCTTGTTCTGTTACAAAAGTAATTCCTATCATTTAGAGAACAGCTATTCCAGACATGGCAGACAAATATTCCAGTCATTTGAGAAGGTGCAAGCAACAGAGAAACGTTTCGAACGACTCTATACTAAATCCAAATTAACTTTTGTTTCTTCTTCTTCTAATTTTGCAGGGATTGTGTCCTTGATATCGCTTTCATTATTGTCATATGAACGATATGCTACAGTTTTGAAGTCCACAAAAGCAGATTCAACCAACTATAAAAAAGCCTGGGTGTACATTGCATTTTCGTGGTTCTATTCTCTGGTGTGGACTTTGCCACCTCTCTTTGGTTGGAGCAAGTATGGCCCTGAAGGATATGGGACCACATGTTCAGTTATATGGCATTTGAGATCACCAAATAATGCATCCTACATCATTTGTCTTTTCCTTTTCTGTCTCATTCTACCAGTCCTGCTTATGGCATATTGTTATGGAAGAATTATCCAAGCAATCAGAGGAGTAAGTACTCTTGCTTTCCATTCTCACAGTTTAGTGCACGATAGTGAATTCTGAAACGCTATATTCATACAGGTTATTGCAAGTAGCAACTCAAAGTCACAAGTAGCGACTCCTAATTTCCTAATTCCAAAGTGATGGATTAATCAACCACAGCCATCACTTAAAAGTCAATGAATTGTGAGTCTGTAAATTGGCAAGTGCAAATCTGGCCAAAAATATGTGTTGTCATTGCTGAGTTTGCAGACATTGACTTCATTCAGAATCAATTTGAATCATTTCAGCAATATAGAAACTGTAACATTGCTATTGATACTTTCTCAGTATCTTTTAACTATTAATATTTTCATTATGGAGAGCCATAAGGAGATTAACACAGAATTCTGTACTTTCTTAAACATTCAATACTAGCTTGTCATTGATTTTGACAGTCTAATAAATCTTCTGTTAAATTTCAGGTTATTGTGCAAACAGCCTGAAATAATTACAAAGATTTCAATTGCACCACCTTAATCATGATGACTGGAAGGTGACTGCAGGAAAAGATTATTAAAACTAAAATAGGAAAAAAAAAATTCTATATGTAAATTAAAAAACAACAAAAGGCAGGTTGGATTGTACTGTAAATTGTGAGAAGGGTCTCTTCTTTAGTTACCGCAACCAGAAAAATACAAATTTCAGATATTCTGACTCCAGATCTGAATTTCATCTGAACTGCATTTTACTAAACTGATAATTAATTTCCAATGCGCTATTAACTCTGAAGTTGCAGTGAAATTGCACAGCCTAAATAAACCTAACATTCTGATAAGTGCTTTCAATTAAATATAAATATAGTAAGGTATTCATATTTTGCCATACTATTTAATTATTCTGTAATTATTATTATGTATTATTCTGAGAAGTACCACAATCATGTTGTTTTCGTGAAACTAAATCTTTCATTTCTGAATTTAATTAAGAGAACAGAATAGCACATGGTCAGATGTTAAGGTGCTGAATACATAGTAATCTCTCTCTATTGTGATAACAACTGTTCAATTATAAACAAGCTTTTTTTTGTAATATTGCTTTAACAATTTATACACTGAAAGGGGATTAAAATTCCCTAATTTTTTAAAACATTTTAAATGCCTGGATAAATTTAACTCCAAGATAACGGTGCTTGCTTAATGTATTGAACTCTGAAGATGCCATCTATATATATATATATATATATATATAAAGAGGCTTCTGGAAATCTTGTTGATATAGACATTATATAATTTGCCAAACCTCTGAGAAATGCAAGTAGATTTAGACTGAACCGTGCTTTGAATTTCCAAAGTAAGTTTAGGAATGAATCACGTCGGTAATTATAGGCTTCCAACTGTTATGAATCTGTTATGATTCTGAAGTCTCATAGTGTGATCTCAGATGCATGAATTTGTTTCCATTTGTTGCTGTGTTTTATTTACCATCTGTTCAGTGTTGAGAATGGAACAAGGGAAGTACTTTCATTCCTAATAAGTAGCAATGGTGCAGTAATGATTGTTCTCTGTGGATAGGGAGCGAGCTAACTGAGGGCAAGTAGTCGAGAGATGGATATGACTGAATAATATTGTACTTTGCACGGACACCTTTGAGATTCATACAGTATTTTGTATAAGACATTTCCTCATAAAATTGAATTTGTTGTTTTCTTAACATGATTATTTCAGCACTTGCTTCATCTACTGGTACTATTTTACCTACAATTAAAGCATCATTTAATAGTTCAGTTCCTAGTCAAATGGGAATATCATCAGCGTATAATATCTAGTGTTTGTAATTGATAAAAGCTTCACAGAAAATAATTCTACTGAAGCGTCATAATGTAAATACTTATTAATAATCTTGACAATTTGGAGGAGTGTCATTATTTTATGTTTATTACAAAAATACACTTGTCCATAGATTTATTTTGTAAACAATCATATTTCGGTAGAGAGGAAATTAACAAGTTATAGAGAAATGGGAAAGGTTGTGAGGAAAGGGTTTATAATGTTAAATGAGACATTACAGTAGAGACTTGTTATTAAACACAACATTTGGAACAAACAGGTAAACCTCGTCGGTATAATGAGGCCGTTTTACTTGTTACAATACTGTTTGGGGCAAATCTTTAGTAGGTCACCCTAATGGCCATTTTTCTTGCCTAAACTCAGTTAGAGAATATCAACAAGTTACCCTTGCCAGGCATAAGAACCAAGTTCTGTACGATTCCTATCCAAAATTCACTTTACAATAGGGGCCAATGGTTTCCACTCCTACTCCAACTCCAACACTACTTAAATTCACCTAACTGAGGACAGATCAGGAATCAGATATAGAGTTGCCTGCTCCAGATACTGTAGAAATGCACTAGGCAGTGATTGATCCTCTGGGTTATTTCCTTTATAATATACTCCTTTATAATAATAATAATAATAATCCTTGCATTTGATATAGCGCTTTTCACGTCGGGAGGACGTCCCAAAGCGCTTCACAGAGTACACTGTAAAGTGAATTGACTGTATATTTGTGGGCAAACGCGGCAGCCAATTGCGCACAGCAATGTCCCACAAACAGTCGTAGATTGAAAATGACCAATTTATTATTGTTTTGGGTTTTGGAGGGATTATTATTAGGCTCTGTGTGGAGTAAGGAAACTTGCCCAAGGTTTCGCCCTGCCTGGAATTGAACTCAGGTCTCTCGCTTGCAAAGCGAGTGCTCTAACCACTGAGCCACAGGACTCCATTTAGGTTGATGCCGTGCCATTATTTTAACTGCTGCTATGAGATGGAAAGGAAAAGGCACTTCCAATGAAATTACTTTGTGTTACGATTCATCAAAAGTAAGATGAATAAATAATTGATACAAATTTCTTTCATAAAACAAAATTAAATTTAAAATGTATTTCCCGATAAAAATACCGAGTCTACACTCAGGTGAATGTCAACTATGAGTATTATTGGTAGTAGTAAGCAGCATCCACCTTTGCGATACCTCTGTTTCTTACAAAAAGCATTGTTGTGGCAGTACAACAAAATGTTTGAAATGATTATGTCATCTCAGCACTCAAGCATATTATACAGTACAAACTTCACATTTGGAAAATGTGGGTTTCTCGACAGAAACCACCTAATTACAAACCATTTTAGGACAGCTTTCTACCGACATCGCTGTTTTCAAGTGTATATATAACAGAATGTTTCACGTGGTTATTAATCTTGGCAGGTGGGAGATCCCCAAGCTTCTTTGTTATTGATTTTAAAAGTATTTATGATTTCCCGCTACATTTATGTGGTGGCCTTTTGCTGGTGCTGTTTGGCAAGAGAAAAGAATTTTGATTCTATATTTCTGTGACTCAACGTCTCTTCGTGCACGCATGTTTAGTCCTTTTTGTTCCAACGTCCTTCTTTTTAATCTATCTTAAAATCAATCTGCCATTTACTTTTCTGCTATTAATCTTCTTGAATGACAAGAAATTTCAGTAATATCACTGCCCCTCTTTCAGAATGAATAACTCATTTACTTTTGGAATCTTCCCTTTGATTTCTGTTTTAGTTTGAGGAGTCAAACTGAAACAGGAGTCCTGTTTGAGGAGTCCTGTAGCTCAATGGTTAAAGCACTCGCCTCGCAAGTGAGAGACCTGGATTCGATTCCAAACAGGGCAAAATCTTCTTACTTAAGCCCTCAAGAAAAGAAATAATATAATTGGTCACTTCAATCCACGACTGTTTGTGGGACACTGCTGTGCGCAATTAGCTGCCGTGTTTCGCCCACAAATATACCGTCAATTCACTTTAAAGTATATTCTGTGAAGCGCTTTGAGACGTCTCGAAGATGTGAAAAGCGCTATATAAAATGCAAGTATTATTATTAGTTTTAGAAGTTTAAATCATGTGTAAATACTGCAATTCGATTTACTGTAATTGGATTTTCTCCATTGATTATGGATTATGATGAATGACTTCGAGCCAGATAAGTGCTTGTTTTCACATGTGACAGATATATTGGTATATTTGACCTCGCAGGTTGGCAAGATTAATCAGATGACAGCACAAACACGAGAACACCGCATTCTCCTCATGGTGATTTCCATGGTAACCTTTTACCTTCTGTGCTGGTTACCCTATGGTACAGTGGCTTTGATTGGAACATTTGGCAATGCGGATCTTATCACACCAACATGCAGTGTTATCCCATCGATCCTGGCAAAAAGTAGCACCGTAATTAACCCAGTTATCTACGTCATAATGAACAAACAGGTAAGATACGAATGAAGAGGACATTATTCTATTTAACAGAGAAGGTAAAACAGCTGATTCTAATTCTTACATTGCACTCATGCAATTGGGTATGAATATATGATTTTTAACTTCGAAGTGGTAATTTTTTAAATCATCTTGCATCAAATTAAGTGAAAGATTCTTAGGATCAGGCTTTGGAAATAAAAGACATTGTGTTCTGGAGGGATTCCTCTAGCCTACAATCGAATTATTGATCACCACATTTGATCTAACGCCTTTCACGTCAGGGTGATGTCAAATGCCTCATGGTCCTCACACTATATATAATTAATTCACTCAAGTAAACAGTTAAATGATTTTACAAAAGATTGTTGAAAAAAAACCTCATTATCTGTCCAACAGAAAATTTTGTTCACAACATATTAAGTGAATACAGAAACTTCTCATATAACCATTCCACTGCAGTTTAGTCCATTACTGAAGACCAAACTGGTGTAATTGGTGAATTCTAGTTGGAGTTAATGAGCTAAGAAAGGAAGAAACAAACCTGTCTAATCTAAGCCTTTGAAACTTTCCGACAACTGGTGAATGAAAGAGAACATGCAAATCGTTCACAGGAATATCAAGTTATTAGGTTTCAAAAAGGTCTAATATTTGTTATCTTTTTATAGTGCATTGTACATAATGAATGAGAGGCACAATTAGTTTTGCAGAAGATTTACAAAGAATGTAAGCACAGAAACCAGGTCACTCAGCCCAAACAGTCCTTGCTGGTGTTTATACTTCACATGAGTTTCCACCTACTCCCTATTCCCTCTCATACCCTTCTATTCCCCTCTCACTCAAAAAGTAACAAAAGTATAGAAATCTACTGCAAATGTTAATTTTGGGGTAATGATTACTTTTATTTCCATGTAACCAGTGCCTTGGAATGTCCTCCCGATGTGTAAGGCGCTATACAAATGTAATTTTGTTGTTGTTTTGTTGTTAGCGGACACACAAGTCAAGGTCTTTTTTTCCAGTTGTAAACTAGGTGATGGGTTTTATGGTTGCATTAATACAACCCAATGAAAAGCTCATCAATGGACTGTGTAGGCATATGCCTGGACAATTAACCATTATAAGCAGGTAAGGTATGCAGGTGGCAGGGCTAGCAACAGAGTACCAGACCATCTGTTCAGGGAATCCCGAGACTGAATTCCAGCCTTAACTATTAATCTCTGATTTTATTTGACAAGCTAAGACGAATCTGTGTCGATTTGCACGAATGTGAAAATCAAGCGCTCTGGGACGCTATCCTGCGTGAGGGGTGCTACATAAATGTAAGTTGTTGTTGTCTTAGCCTTTAAGACCACTTTGTCTGAAAATTTAAGATGACACAGAAATGTGGGCGATTTTTCATTTCAGTCTTAATTTGGAACTGGCCTCTTTTCATGAAAGTGGTTATAGGATTGAGTACATTTTATAAAAACATTTTAATGAATGTCTCCAGATAGAGACAAAATGTGAGGAATTACTTAGGTTTGGAATGAAATGATTATCTTGAAATCCATTCCAATTCATAACGGTTGACAGTAATGATTTTGTTTTCCGTGTGTTTAGTTTTACAGGTGTTTTGTAACATTGTTGAGATGTAACACTGCCCCAACCTTACACCAATAAAAATTCTAAACAAAACAAAGACTTACAGCTGACCAGCAGGATGCGGGATATGATGCAGATGTGTCTACCCTCTTCACGGTTATCAGATGGCAGAAAGCCAAGGGAACGACATGTGGAGAACTCGTCTAAAGAGGAGCGCACATTGGTTTTAGGAGCTCGTCATAACAGATAACCTTTATGCAACTATTTTAAAGGTTTTGTGATTACTTTGTTAACTAAATGTTTGCAGCCACTGTTGATTTAAACCCTCTTTGTAGTAATATTAGAACTGGTTGTAAAGCTGTTAATTTGCAGATGTGCACAACATTTAAGTGGAGGATTAAAATGATGTTTCCCCCTGTAAACATGGCTTTGTGCTGCCCTTCAATACCACCACCACTAGCGAGTGTAATAAACTCCATTCAGAAAGATAACAAACAACATGATGTCGATGGTAATAAGTTACCTATCCAGAAAGTTTCCTGTTTGGCTGCTAACAGAAATTTCCTTCAAACCATGAGATACCAATGTCTAAGCACAACAGCGTAGAGAGAGGGGGGAAAAAAGAGCATCAATGTACACAGGGTAATCCCTTTACAGAGATGGAAATGTATTGAGTATGCTTTGCTCTTTCAAAATGGAGCACCTTTTTTTACTTGTGTCATTGCTGTGAAGGTTATCTTTGGTTCTGTGGAACAGAAACGTACTTTCCAGTCGTGCTTTGCTACACGCAATAATTGTGATGTTATGCATGGGGGCAAGTTTCACTCGCAGAGACACTAGTCTAAAACATGATGATTCTGGAAGTACATCACTTCGATACAATCTACTTTCAGAGCAGAATCCCCTCGATGTAGCCCACTCACTGTGAGGAATCCCCACTAGAAATTCCTTGTGGCTTTTATTCAGCAGTAGATTTGGAAGATTCAGATGAAATTTATTGATTTTGCTGATGTTAATCCAGCCGAGGACTTTCAATCAACCACTCCCACTGACATTTTCCAGAAACGAAGGGAAGGAAAAAAAGGGGGAAAGCGCTCTGGGACACTACCCTGCGTGAGGGGTGTTATTTAAATGTAAGTTGTTGGTGGCGGTGGCGGTGGTACCCTTTATGGTCAGGATTTCTGGATTCATTGTAACCTTAATACACATTGCTGGGAGAGAAATTCCACGTGGATGCATGGAACATTCAGTTTGATTTGGATACACATAAGCATGGTGGTGGGTTTCTACATGTATCAAAACCCCAAACTTGATACTGTGCTTTGTGTTGAATATGCACCAGTTCAGAAAAAAAAATTCATATACTTTGCAAAAATAATTGATATAACTCCCCCCCACCCCATCACCCTCAATATTCCCTTACTTAACTATACATGTTACACAACAGTATTTGTATTCCAAGTCACTCTATTACTGATTTCTGGCTCATGGGGGAGTGCCATAGGCTTCCACAGAAAAGAAAAAAAAAGTCACGTAGGCCGTTAGAAAAGCCCTAACATAAGATCAGGTGTTAATCATGAAATGATTCAACTCACGCTCTTTCCTTCCTGAAGAGGGCACTGATAAACGGTGAAATCACAGGCTCTTTGTGAACCTATTGTTTTTGCCAGTTGTTGACACATCAAAGAATTTCAATTGAAGGTAGTTGAGAGTACGACTTGAAAAGTGTGTTGAGAATGTTCTAATATTGAGCTCAAAGACTCTGACATTCCAGTTTTCCTGCAATACACTGACACTCGACGAACTATAAGAAAGAATAAAACATAAAACGGTGGTCGGGATGTTCCATCGCTGCTTCCCGGTGCCTTGACATGGCCCATGTACCATAAGCAAACTTGTCAACATGCTTACGAAAACTGTTCACGCTTTGATTCTTTGCTAACTGGATTTTATGTCGGATTCTATAAACTGTGATACAAAATTATTGATACAGAACACATTATTGATACATATTTAACGCAGGTTTGCAAGCGACTTCATTTTATCTCTCAAGTGCGGAATAGTAAAACGCAGCTCCCGAAAAGATTGCAATGGTTTGAAAATTTGTACGCATAAATTCCTGGTGGCAGTAAGAATGTTCTAATAGATACCTACACAAAGAAAATTGAACACAAGTGGGAGGAAATAAACCAGTCATTGATCTCCAAGATTTCTGAATTTCACAAATATTTATGTATAAAGCAGGCTTTCTTTCAAACAATTATTTGGGTCATGACAAATCAATTCTATATAAAATATCAGTGGTGTTAGTGCTTTGGCATCACTAGTTTTTATTTTAACTTAGCTGATTTGACACAGATGTATTAATTGTCAGATCATGAGATACAATGGGAAAGAAACACAATAAATATTCTTAGATATGGTATTTTTTATGAGCCAATCAGGTATTTTTTAAAAAATTACTGAGATAAGAAGATAAGCAAGAGAGATTTAAAGATATAAATTCTGTGGAAGCTAGGCCACAAAAACTTTTAGTTTCTCATTCCTCTGTTTTGCAATCTCTTACTTTTCTGATTATGCACAGTACTGGTGCTTTACCAATATCTAAATAGATCAGCGGCCAAGGTTTTAAAATGATTAAAATACGGAAATATTGAAAAATAAAATTTTGCTTTAGGAGAATACCAAATCTAAAACATAGATCCAATGATACAAAGTGGCCTTTCACTGTGAGAAAATGGGTCACTTTCCTGATTGTAATCAGATTTTTAAAAAAATCTCAAATGATGATAATATTGTACACGAGTGACATTTCATTCAGACAAAGTGTCAGTAAAGTATGACTACATGTGAATAATATGCCAGTACAGATGGATACAAATGTGAGTGCAGATGCGAGTTGAACAGTAAGAAGTGGTCTATGATATAGACTGGGCTGCTTATTTCAGAAATATATCAGTGCTCAACTGTAAAGTTTCATTTCAGAAATTGACACAAATAATTTCCACTCAATGGGGCTCAATGCTAGGGCAATGTGACTACCAACTGCATGACCTTGCGTGAAAGTTTCCATTGTACATGGTACAATTCCTCTAAAATCACAAGAAAGGGGCTTACTCATTGCTTCCTGTGCTTTTGATGCCACCCATCTGAAATCAGCGAACTCAGCACAAATTGAACATGGGACCTTTAAGGTTTGTGTGATTTCGGTCCACATTTGCCATTGCCTTTATCAATGGAAGACAAGCATGAAAAATACAATTTCAACCCCAGATAAAATTTACCAAAGTACTATAAAATACACATTTTACATCGCTCTTATTTTCAATAATAATAATAATCCTTGCATTTGATATAGCACTTTTATCACATGTTCGAGAGGTTTCAAAGCGCTTCACAGAATACCATGTAAAGTGAATCAACTGTGTTTTGTGGGCGAAACTCAGTAGACAATTGCACACAGCAGTGTCCCACAAACAGTTATAATAATAATCCTTGCATTTGATATAGTGCTTTTCACATCTTCTAGACGTCTCAAAGCGCTTCACAAAATATGCTGTAAAGTGAATTGACTGTATATTTGTGGGCAAAATGCAGCAGGCAATTGCGCACAGCAGTGTCCCACAAACAGTCGTGGATTGAAAATCACCAATTTGTTATTGTTTTGTTTTTTGGAGGGATCATTAATAGGCGCGTGGAGTAAGGAAACTTGCCCAAGGTTTCGCCCTGCCTGGGATTGAACCCAGGTGTCTCGCTTGCAAGGCGAGTGCTCTAACCACTGAGCTACAGGACTCCACAGTTGTGGATTGAGTGACCAAATTATTATTATTTTTAAGGAATTATTATCCCTGGAAAAGCGATCCACCGATCGACTAACAACCAGGTTCCTACTTACTGCTAGGTAGACAGAGGCATGTGGAGTAAGGAAACTTGACCAACGTTTCGCCCTGCCCGGGAATCAAACCCAGCTCCTCTTGCTTGCGAGGCGAGTGCTCTAACTACCAAGCTACAGCACTCCACAATCTTTATGTNAAAAAAAACTAGCAATAAATAACATTGTCATAAATACTAGCTATACCCGAAATATGAGTTTAATCTAAGTAACATATAAGTGGAACAATATAGAGTAGAATTGCAGCATATACGCACTAGCAAACTGCCTGAAGCAGGAGACATGACTTTAGTTGGGTATCTAAAGCAGCTTTTCTAAGGACACAGTAACCTTCACTACTACCATGTGCTTCCATAAAGTCTGGGAAGCGGCCTGGGCCTTGAGTTAAGGGTATGGATTATGCCACAGGCCAGATGAAGCCAAAGCAAATAATTTACATATTGTTTTGGGAAATAAATAAAATACAACAGGTTTGCATAAAATTAATACACACCTTTTGAAAACTAAACATTACAATTTATGAGTACATTGACTGGTGAAAAAAGGCATTGCTTTAATCATTTCTTGTCATACTAAAAATGCTGGAAGCATTTGTGGGATACAAAACAAAATCAAACTACTTGCTGATCTTAAAACCCTTTATAATATTGAATATTCAGAACAAAAATACTTTTCAGTTTGGTATAGATTGTTCCAACTCCAGGTTATTAATCCACAAATAAAATTGAGGGTGGATAACATGGAAAAAGTGAGGCAGTGCAGAAAGAGTGCTTTGTTGACATGGAAGCTTTCTTAAAAATATATTTTTAGGATAGTGTGGGGAACCTGCGGTTGTATCTACCCAGTGTTATAAATCACTTACTGTAGGAGTGTTTGATGTAGATGCTTAAAGATTACTTGGTGTCATGGAAAAAGACTCAGTCCTCCAACACTGTCACCTTTCAGCTACATAGTTTATGTCTGAAAGCAGAAGAGAGGCACGATGCTCTCATACCTCAACCACTGGTTGGTGTGTCGATGACCACATCATCCACAGATCCAACAGATAGGATGCAGAATATATTAATAAGAATAATCCTTGCTTTTGATATAGCGCCTTAGCACATTTTTCAGACGTCTCAAGGTACTTCACAGAATATGGTGAAATGTTCTGTATATTTTGTGGGAGAAATGAATTGTAAAGTGAATTGACTGTATATTTTGTGGGAGAGATATGAACAGTTATCTGGATTGACTGATTTCAGTCAAGGGATACATATTAATGGAAGTAGGTGGTTATTGAAGATCATGTTCACCGAAAAGTCATCTGAAATCCAAATGCAGATACTACAAATCTTACAAAAGTAATAGAACACAGT